GGTGGTGGTGGTGGTGGTGGTAGTAGGAGGAGGAGGAGGAGGAGCAGGAGGAGGAGGAGGAGGAGGACAGCCCGAAAAGGCCGAGATGGAGCTACAAAAAGGCAGACTGGAGATTGTTCAGTATAAGAACTAATGAGCTGACAAAGAACATCGCAGCTTTTGACAAAAACATAAACAATGCCATCACAGAGTTCAATGAAAAAATTCAGCAAAAGAAACTATACCTAGAGGGGTAAGGAAAAATTACATCCCATACTTGACGCCAGAACTCCAGAAAAAAACATAATGACCTCATCAAGACCAGAGAAGAAGCCAAAACACATCCAGGGATAGAAAACAACAACAAGCTAGAGAGGTGTAAAGCCCACTATCTCAAAACCAAATTGGAGTGCACCAGGAAAAGCTGGAGAGACAAAACGCACAAACTTAACCTGGAAAAGGACACCACAAAACTATTTAGGCTTGTAAAGGAGCTAAACGACGAAGGAAATAAAAGTGCCAAGATCATTCTAGAAGTTGAAGGAGAGATGGAAATGGAGAAAAGGGCAGCACATACCTTTGTAAAAGCATATGCTCAAGAAAGCAACCTCAAAATACCAAGGGAGAGACAAAAAGAAGTCAGACAAGAGGAAAGAAGGAAAAGAAGTACAAATAACATCCCGGAAGCAATGGAGAAGGACATCACCATGGAAGAGCTGAAGAAAGCAATAAATCAATTGAAGCAAAGAAATTCACCAGACCCTGATGAAATTACAAACGAAATGTTACAACACCTGGGCAACACAGCCTTACAGACTCTACTGGATATATTCAACTTAAGCTGGAAAAATGGGCAAGTACCTCAATGCTGGAAAGAAGCAACGATGATCCCGATCCTCAGGCCAGGGAAAAGTAAGGCACAACCATTAAGCTATAGACCTATCAGCCTCACAAGCTGTGTATGTAAGACAGTGGAGCGCATCATAGCTTGCCGAATGCAGTGGTGCCTTGAGGCACAACACATCTTAGTACCAGAACAAACTGGATTCCGTCAGTTCAGGAGCATAGAGGACTAAACAACATCCTTGTCCCAAGTAATAGAGGACTCCTTCCAGGCACAGAAAGTGATGCTAGCAACTTTTATTGATCTACAAAAAGCGTTTGACAGGGTGTGGAAGGAGGGTCTACTAGTCAAGCTCCTTAGAAGTGGTATCCAAGGCAACATGTACCAATGGACCAAATCCTATCTACACAACAGAGCACGTGTGCTGGTGGGTGGATATCAAGGACAAAAAATGTTGCTGCGACAAGGAGTACCCCAAGGTGGAGTCATGTCACCTTTGCTCTTTATCCTCTTCATCAATGACCTCATAAAAGAACTGCTCAAATGAATACATGCCGCATTGTATGCAGACGACCTGTTTCTTAGGTGCTCTGAGGAATTCGTCACTACTGCCACATATCGCATGCAACTAGTACTGGACAAACTTTCTACATGGACAAAAACCTGGTGTGTAACCGTAAACAAGGAAACGTCTTCAGCTGCACTCTTTACTCTCAGCCAGGCTGAGCCAAAAAACCTCACATTAGATAACCCCCCTCCACCCCCACCCCTAAAGTTTGAGAATCAACAGAAGTGTATTGGAATAATCTTTGACAAGCGTCTCACATGGAAACAACATATTCAAAATGCAAAAAATAAAGCCAGGAAGAAACTTAACATCATGAGAAAACTAGCAGGGACTCAGTGGGGAGCAAATGAGAAAACACTTAGACAGGTTTATCTAGGTGCAATCAAGCCCCATCTCGAGTATGGATCCAGTGCATGGATGACTGCAGCACAGACTCACAAATGCACTCTGGAAAAAGTGCAAAACCAGGCTCTCCGAATAATCATTGGAGCAATGAGGTCAACGCCTATAGAAAAGATGGAACAAACAACATCTATAGTGGCCCTGCAGAGGAGATGGGAATGCAAGGCCCTCATACAGTACACCAAGGCCACCGCTATGGAGGATCATATATTGCACTCAAGAACATTCAGATCAAATACCACAAGACTTAAAAGATCCAACTTCCTCAAAGAAAGCAAAAAAATCCAAAGATCCCTACAGGACCATCTACCAGCCACAGTGAACATGCTGAACCACACCTCAGAGGCACCATCATGGGAAAAGAAAAATACAAACATAATTATACACACGTCCATTCCTATGTTCACCACAAACAATGACCACAGCGACCTGAGCAAGAAGTCCGTCACCCTGTCCATGCTTGAACAAAGATACCCACGAGAAGCATGGATAAGGATCTATACGGACGGACACTGATGCTGTGAAAAGAGGAGGAGCCGGAGTGCACGTACAGTTCCCAAATGGACGACTACAAGCAGAGGCAGTCCCAACAGGGTGACATTGTACAAACTACAGGGCAGAGACGGAGGCTCTAATATATGCAGCAAATATCATCAAGAATGTGGTAGACCCCCAAAGCCAAGTAGTATTCCTAACAGATGCCTTGTCAGTATTGCAGGCAATCACTGCCGGCAAACTACCAAGGCTACGAAAAGCATTTGAGGACATTCCATGTCTGAGGATCATGCTGCAGTGGATTCCATCACACTGTGGTGTCTTAAGAAATGAGCAGGCAGACAGGATGGCCAAAATAGGAGCACAGAAAGAACAACCCGACAAAAGCGTTAACTACACAGAAATAAA